TCTCACAATGCAGGCACGTCATGAGGGTGGAACCCCTTCCAATGAAGCACCTGGGAATTGCATGTTACCATGCGCCCAAGTCATGTCAGGGGGACACCTACTAATCATTAAAAATGAAAAATTAAATCACAAATCTGGAAAAACTCTGAGAAAACGTATTGAAACTATCAAATAAAACTGAACAAACAACTGAAAGAAATTGGGTTGCCTCTCAATAAGCGCCTTTCTTTAACGTCTTTTGCTAGACATGGTTAGGTGTCATCAATTGGAGCAATTTGAGATGTCCAAATGTATCATCTCTATTTCTCCATCTGGAAAGCCCTCGTAATAGTGTTTGAGACGATGTTCATTCGCACAAACTTTTTGGCCGTCTTAGTATTCTGGATTTCTACTGCACCATAGTGAAAGACATAAGTAACAATAAAAGAACCAATCCATCAGGAACGCAGTTTACCTGGAAACTGTTTAAGCTTGAATTGGTGTAGGAGAACCTTCTGATCCACTTCAAAGGTCGTTCTATATATTTGGTGCTCATGGAATGTTTTACTCCTCTCCTTGTAAATTACTACGTTCTCATATGCTTCGTTCCGGATCTCCTCCAATTCTTGCAGGTCCAACTTTCGATAGGCACCGGTCTTCTCTAAATTCATATTACACTGTTTAATTGCCCAAAAGGCCTTGTGCTCGAACTCTACTGGAAGGTGGCACGGCTTCCCGAATACCAATTTATAGGGTGACATCCCTATAGAGGTCTTATACGCCGTCCGATAGGATTAAAGTGCATCTTTCAACCTTTGACTTCAATCCTTTCTATCGGGGCGAACCATTTTATCTAGTATCAACTTAATCTCTATATTCGAGACCTCCGCTTGACCATTGGTTTGAGGGTGATACGATGTTGAGACCTTGTAGAGTATACCATACCTTCGAAATAGCGCAGCTATGATCTTATTGCAGAAGTGCATCCTCCTATCACTAACAATGGCTCTTGGCATTCCAAAACGCACAAAAATATTGGATTTAATAAAATCTGCAACCACTTTCGAATCATTAGTTCGGGTGGATTTAACCTCCACCCATTTGGAAACATAATCAACTGCCAATAATATATATACAAAACCAAACGATATAGAAAAAGGCCCCATAAAATCTATACCCCAAACATAAAAAATTTCTACAAAAATTATCGGAACTTAGGGCATATGGTCTCTATGGCCTATATTACCTATCCTTTGACATCGATCACAGGATTTACAAAATAAATATGCATCTTTAAACAATGAAAGCCAGTAAAACCCACCCTCCAGTACCTTATGTGTAGTTCGCTTCGGTCCAAAATGACCTCCACAGGTAAAAGTATGACAAAAAATTAAAATTGACTGAAATTCAGCTTCACTTACGCATCTTCTCATTACTTGGTCAGTGCACCTCTTCCACAAGTAAGGATCATCCCATATGAAGTATTTGGCATCGTTCTTCAACTTGTCCCTCTTCGTTTTAGACCAACCTGCAGGTAAATTACCAGTTACTATGTAGTTAACTAAATCAACATACCAAGGCACTTTAGAATTTAGAGAGAACAGTTGTTCATCAAGAAAGGTATCCTTCAATGGCACGTTTTCCTCTCCAACTGGTATGCAACTTAAATGGTCAGTTACCAAATTCTCCGAGTCTCTTTTATCCCTTATTTCTAGGTCGAATTCTTGCAGGAGCAAAATCCACCTTATGAACCTCGATTTCGTATCTTTCTTGATCATCAGGTACCTCAACGCTGCATGATTAGAAAATACAATAACTTTAATACCTAATAAATATGGCCTGAATTTTTCTAGAGCAACGATAACTGCTAGAAGCTCCTTTTCAGTAGTTGAATGATTCAGTTGAGCTCCATTCAAGACTCGAGATACATAGTAGATTGTGTAATCTATTTTTCCTACTCTTTGCCCTAACACAACTCTTACTGCATGGTCATTGTCATCGCACATGATCTCAAATGGGAGATTCCAGTCAAGAGGTTGGATGATCGGCGGCGATGTCAATAGCAGCTCCTTCAACTTGTTGAATGCTCTCTCACACCTGGCGTCGAACTCGAAGGCCGTATCATTTTGCAAGAGTTTGAATAGAGGAGCCCCAACTTTCAAGAAATCCTTGATGAATCTTCGGTAAAAACCTGCATGTCCAAAAAAATAGCGCACTTCTCGCACACCCGCGGGGTAAGGTAAAACAGATATAATGTCTATTTTAGCTTGATCAACTTCAATACCCTTAGAGGACAATACATGACCTAGAACTATCCCATGCTCAACCATAAAATGACATTTTTCCCAGTTAACCACGAGATTAGTTTCTATACATCTCAACAAGATCAATTTCAAATTATTTAGACAATTATCGAAACTATGACCATATACACTAATGTCATCCATGAAAACCTCAATAATTTTCTCAACATATTCTGAAAAAATACTCACCATACTTCTCTGGAATGTCGCAGGAGCGTTACACAACCCGAATGCCATCCGTCTATATGCAAAGGTTCCAAACGAGCACGTGAAGGTGGTATTCTCCTGATCCACCGATACGATTGCAATTTGAAAATACCCTGAAAATTCATTCAAAAAAACAATAGTAAGTTCGACAACCTAGTTGCTCAATCATTTGGTCAATAAAAGGAAGGAAAAATAGTCCTTTTTCGTGATAGCATTTAATTTTCGATAGTTGACACACTGTCGCTACCCGGTGGATTTACGTACGAGCACGAGTTCACCCTTCTGGTTGGCCTCCACTGTCACTCCTGATTTCTTTGAAACTACTTGTATTGAGCTCACACAGGGATTGTCTGATATTGTGTAAGTAATCCCCACATCTAATAATTTCAATATCTTTTTCTTCACCATTTCTATCATAAGGGGATTAAATCTCCTTTGAGTTTGCCGTACAGGTTTGGCATTTTCTTCAAGTTTTATTCGGTGTATACAGATAGAGGGGCTGATTTCCTTAATATCGGCGATGGTCCATCCTATCGCCTCCTTATGCTCTCTAAGAATTAGAATTAACTTGTCCCTTGAATTTCCGACAGTTTCGCTGAGATAATCACCGGGAGTCTTTCCTTCTCGCCCAAATATGCATATTTCAAGTATTTCGGTAGAGATTTCAATTCTAACACAGGTACCTGCACCACAGACAATAGTATCCTTTGGTGATGTGCGGGTATAAAAATAGGTGCGAGCTCAAACTTTGTCATCGTGATTGGCAGCGATTGTAACGCCCTAATCGTACACTTCAACTTTTCAGTCAACTCTACCTCCGAAGTTGTTTCCAACTCAAGGTGCTTGGTTAAAACAACTTCCAACTCATCCTTGCCAACAATTTTAAACACTTCCTGTACCACAGGGTCAATAGCACTCACAGAAAAAATAAAACTAAAGTTAGAGTTCGAGGGGTATTTCATAGTTTCGAAAATATTGAAATGAACAATTTTTCCATCGAATTTCATAGACAAGATTCCCTTATTGACATCAATTTTAGTCTGGGCTATGCTAAAAAAGGGTTTACCTAACAGCAAAGGCTAGGGGTCGGGGAAATGATCATCATCCATGTCAAGTATATAAAAATCAGTTGGGAATACCAGTTCATTAATTTTAACCAACACATGTTCGACCAACCCATCAGGGTATGCATTTGTTCGGTCAGCTAATTGAATTATTATTCCAGTTTCTTTTAACGGACCTAGGTTCAGAGAAGTATAGATAGATTTAGGCATTACATTGATCGATACTCCTAAGTCTAGCATGGCATTTCTAATCAAAACATTACCTATCCTACAAGGGATCGTAAACATACGTGGATTCCCGCACTTTGGTGGGAGTTTTCTCTGTAGAACCGCTGACACATTTTCCCCCATAATAACTCTTTCATCTCCCCTTACCCTTCTTCAGTTGACGCACAAATCCTTCAAAAATTTTGCTTAGTTTGGCACTTGTTTGATTACATCTAGCAGGGGAATGTTGATATCTACCTTGCAGAATACCTCAAAGATCTCTTTCTCCTTGTCCTACTTCTTCGATTTCTCCAACCTGTTAGGAAATGGAGGTGAATTAGTTTTAACTTCAATGATTGGGTCAGAGAGTACTACTGGATCTTTGCTGTTTCTGTCGTCCTCTTCAAGCTCTTTCTCGATCTTTTCTTCATCCTTGTCCTTTGGAATCAAGAGTTCGGATCCTTGAATTTCCTTCCCGCTCCTTAGGGTCATTGCATTTACATTTTTCGAGTTCAGTTCAGGTTGAGACGGCAATTTTTCGTGAACATGGGATTCCAGGCGATTGATTGCTATTACCATATGATTCATATGACTTTGCATTGCTTGCATCTGACCCATTTGATTTTGTAAGTTATATTCCATCTTTTGTTGACTAGCAATTAATTGTTTCATCATTTCTTCTAAAGACGGAAATGAGTTTGGAGGAGGTGGTGGCTGCCGAAGTTGGTATTGCTATTGATACCCTTGCTGTCTATTCGGTGCAAAATTTGATTGCCTATTTTCTTCATAACTAAAGTTAGGGTGATCTCTCCAACCTGGATTATACAAGTTCGAATACGGGTCATATGACTTTTTTGATGTGGACGCATGACCAACCATGTTTACTTGCTCCGCACTCTGTTCTTGAATCATTGGGCAAATCTTTGTAGAATGACCCATGGCAATACAAATCCTACACACATTGGCTTGTGGTGCATTTCTCACAGCCAATTGCCTAACAAAGGATGTTAACTCAGTCAACTATTATTGGATAGCGGATGTCTCTACTTCATTCACTCTGCGTATCGGGACATCCTCTCTTATACTGAATTGTTGTGAGTTCTCGACCATTCCTTCAATCAACTCCTACGCTTCTCAAGGAGTTTTGTTCACTAATGCCCCTCCACTTGCAGCATCAATAGTACTCCTATCTCTGAAAAGTAGTCCCTCGTAAAAATACTGGATGAGCAACTGCTCGCTTATTTGGTGTTAAGGACACTTGATGCATAGTTTCTTGAATCTTTCCCAGTAGTCATAGAGCAACTCTCCTGGGTGTTGCTTGAAACCGCATATCTCCTTTCTCAGACTCGCAGCTCGTTGGCTTGTGGTGCATTTCTCACAGCCAATTGCCTAACAAAGGATGTTAACTCAGTCAACTGTTATTGGATAGCGGATGTCTCTACTTCATTCACTCTGCGTATCGGGACATCCTCTCTTATACTGAATTGTTGTGAGTTCTCGACCATTCCTTCAATCAACTCCTACGCTTCTCAAGGAGTTTTGTTCACTAATGCCCCTCCACTTGCAGCATCAATAGTACTCCTATCTCTAAAAAGTAGTCCCTCGTAAAAATACTGGATGAGCAACTGCTCGCTTATTTGGTGTTAAGGACACTTGATGCATAATTTCTTGAATCTTTCCCAGTAGTCATAGAGCAACTCTCCTGGGTGTTGCTTGAAACCGCATATCTCCTTTCTCAGACTCGCAGCTCGGGAAGCAGAAAAATATTTTTTCAAGAATTTTTTCGTCAACTGCTCCCAAGTAGTGATACTACCTGGAAGTAGGTAGTACAGCCAGTCTTTTGCTGAGTTCTTGAGAGTAAAGGGGGAATGCCCTCATTTTTATCTGTTCTTCGGTAATTCTTGGGGGTTTCATACTGTTACAAACAACATCAAATTCTTGCAAGTGCTTATTAAGCTCCTCACTTGGTAAATCCTGAAAAGATGGTAAAAGATGAATTAGATCAGATTTTAACTCAAACGGGGTGTTGTCATTTAAATTCAGAAAAGTAATGCATAAGGGCTGCTGATTTAAATTAGGAGCAGTCAACTCTCTTAATATTCGTGCATTAACCATATTAGCTTCTTCTCGATCCAAGTCACTCAAAGTATCACCAAGCGAACTTATTGATTCAACTTTTGGCTCAAGTCTCTGAGATGCAGCACTAGATTGCTCCTCTCTTAGCTGTCTGGTCTCTTTCTTTATTCTACGTGCAGTCTTCTCTACTTCGCGATCAAAAATTAATTTGCCTGTACGAGAAAAACGAGGCATAGACTAAAAAAATACAAGAAAATTAAAACAAAAATAAACTTAAAAAGAAACAAATTAACTAACACTAGTCCCCGGCAATGGCGCAAAAAATTGACAGATTATCGATCCTGCACAATAATAATAATGATAATTTTAGTTGCCAACAAAAGTAGTTTCGAGTCAATTCCAGTACTGGAGCAGAGACTCTGGATACACAATGGGTTACTAGATTCACCCTGGTTCCGAAGAGTTTGCTAAATCCGATATACCAAAATTTATTCACGAGAACTTGTTAATTTGTATATAGGGCAAGTAGGATCGAATCCACAGGGATTGGGAGTAATTCGTTTCTACTAAAGTTCCAAGTTATGGGGGAATTTTAGTGGAATTAACAATAAGCTATGCTAATCGAATATTACAATTAAACAAAAATTAAATCACAAACTGCAAAATTTCAAATAGTATTGGACAAGCTCTAGTCAAAAAGTAACATCGAAAATGGTTCACCTAATTGATCATCGATGCAAGAATGACTCCACATATAAACTGATAAACAAATTATAATTGTCAAACGAGCGACGACAATCAATTTCTCCGTAATTATTGATAGCTAAGGTACAACCGTTAGCTATTGCCCTAATTGCAAAATAATCCTAGGTACGATCGTAGAATTAAATTTTACAATTGCTTTAAGATTTAGAGAAAATCTGTTCTAACAAAACAACATGCTATGAGGGTTGTTTACAAATTAGCCCATATATTTTCCTGACATAACCCCGATAATGCCAGTTGCCACTAATTTAGAACAATCAAACAATTACGGATTTAATTATTCTAATTGGCTCTAGGTTATTGAATTATTCTAATATCCAGGTCCGGAACAATTGAATAATACAACAACCATAAGAAAATAAAACAGAAAATATACGAATACCAGGAAATAATAGAAAAACTAAAATCAGTTAGATCTCACAATTTAAGTCGAACCAAATCTTCCGTTGTTCCTTGACTAGAAGTATAGCCTTAGTTCATCTCCGGGGTAACAATCTCAAGCAAATTTGCAGAAATAGTTGCGGCATACATTGTCCTCAATTGGAAGGATGAAACGATGGAATAAGAATGATAATAACGAAAAGAACTACCAAGTCAAAAAAATGACTAATTGTCTCTACTTGGTTCCCATCTTCGATGGAACCAATAGCCACCAAAAGATGAAAAAGTCGGTAGCCGAAAAGATGTCAAGAATGACCGCTATTTTTCCTCCCTAATTCCTCTTCCTATACGGCTACCAAGAGCCAATAAAAGGAAAGAGTCCTACTGCTACTACTCCACTGTACTTCCATTATCAGATAAGGAAACAATCTTCAATTTTGTCTTCAATTGGTCTTCAATGCGTCATATCAGGTCAATATCTTATAGCAAATCTGGAAGGCTAGAAACAAGATGACATTTCATAGTAAGAAATTGAATGCAAAACTGATTGTGGATAAAGCACAGCAGGAATGGATTGAGTATGAAGCTGAGACTGAAACAGATGCAGGGACAAATGCCCCCTCAGAAATGGACAGACAGCTGCAATGTGGTTGGGAACCACCTGAGGAAGGTGTGATCAAAATAAACACTGATGCAGCAATATCAGCTAAAATGGTAAGAACAAGGCTGGGGATAATAGATAGGAACTGGCGTGGATGGATTGTGAAAGCGAAAGGAATCACTAAATGCAAGAGAGGAGAAGCAGCCAAAGAGGAAGCACTAGCTATAAGAAGTGCATTGGTAATGGCAACAGATGCAGGATGGACAAACATAGAAGTCCAATCTGACTGCAAAAGTGTTGTGGACCAAATTAACACAGGCAATGTTCAGGCCAGTAGCATAGAAACAGTCCTGGAGGACATTGATAACCTAAAACAGGTTTTTGGCTGCTGCAAATTTTCTTTTGTTCCCAAAGCTGGAAATGGATGTAACCATTCTCTGGCTCAATTTGCTGTCAGGTTTATTAGAAATGTTGAATGGGAAAACTCTTTCCCAACATGGCTAATAGATTTAGTCAGAAAAGATATGAGGGTAGTTACCCCTTTTGTAATTAGCTCTTGTATTATCAAGTGTTAATATCTATAAAATGTTTAACGTTTATGAAAAAAAAATCAATTTTCTGAAATCTAATCTTGTTACATTTCCTTTATACCTAACTTAGTTATATCCATATCTTAATCTTTAGACACTCATGCAATTTTCTAAAGTCTCATCAATAAAGAGTAATAATTCATTTAGTTGTACATGCCAATAATACTCAATTTAGATATATCTATGTGTCTGTAACTCTTGAATCGCAGTCATCCAAGATTCATTGCTCTAATTACAATCTTGAATGCATAAAGCTTGATAAATTGAATATTTCGTAACAAGATTAGATGTGATTGCCATCAACATAGATGAAGTTTCCATCACCGTACAATACACTTTGAGAATTCTTAGATGACTTACTAATGATCACAATAGTAGTAATAAGGTGGTCAGCCAAAAACAAATTCATGTCTGGTATCACTATCATGTAAAAAGGCCTTGAATATCAGAAAAATAATGACATTTCCTCTACACAACACTATTTTTGCGATACATGTGTCCAATTTAAGAGAACGGGAATACTACTACCATGCCACTATTTAGCCTTTTAGTCTCTTAATTCCTTTTCATTCCCACTTATGGCTCAAGTAACTTGTACATGAACTAGTTAATGAAACCTTCAGCAGAAATATCCCCAATGATGCATTGACCCAAGCTCCATCAAACATATAGTCCCTTTATATTAGTCACAAAAGCATACGAAGCAAAGCAGATCCATCCTAAAGGACGACAACTATACGTCAAAAGAACATACATAATGAAATTAGAATATGAAATCAAATGAATTTCAAACAGAACATCATTTGAAATGTCAATCTCTTTTGATTATTAGTCAAATCCCAAGAATACTAAAATGCACATAATGGCTTCATAATATAGACTTCCATCCTTAAAATGGCAAAACTACATACCTCCCTCAGTCAAAAGCACCTTTACAAGCCATATGGCAACCAAGTCAATGAAATCAAAATAAAGCCAATCCCAGAGGCTCCCAAGTATGGATGAAGTATATTTCTGAATCCAATTGAATGTACAATATCTAATATCTAAAGACTTAATACAATATCTTTCCTAAATGTCAAATTTCCATACTCTAATAGCCAATTCCAGGTTTTGAGAGATCTAAAGTACTGGAACTGGCTTCTCACCGCTCTAAAGTACTGATATTTCCTTAAAGGAAAGAAGTAAGATGCCCCCTGAGCTCTCACTAGCACTCATAAGTTCAACATTCATTACACAAATACACTTGTTCAAAAAGTAGTATTCAAATGTTCTTAATAACTAAACTTAAAGAAATCACTCAAATTGATCAATCTGACTTTAAGATATCCATCCAACAGAAATTAGAAGCATAAAATTATAGAGTAGTCAATAAAGGTAGCTTATCAAGTTTATGCAAACAAACCTACACTCACTATTTTAAAAAATAATAAATGAAAAATAACTAATACAAGCTGATGATTTCATTGGCAGCCTAATTTCATACACATGATCCAAGACCTAATTTATACTAAACCTAAGCTTTTGTACATGCATCGAAGACCTAATTTCATAGCATCAATGTTGTTGAAAAAACCTAATTTCATCAACTTATCAGGAAAATAAACAAACAAGGTCATCGAACTAAAAAATCCAAAAACAAAATCATGAATTGTGAGGAAATAACAAATTCCTATTTTACAAATTTAGAATGTGATAAAAAAAACAGTCTAAAATTCCTGGAAAAAAAATCAAAACAAACAAAAAAATATTAATAAAAAAATGAGCTTAAAAACCTGAAGAATCTTAGTCCTTATCCTGATTCTGGAAAATTCTCAAATCAAATAAAATTCCCAAGCATCGACTGCAATAGTTTCAGCTCGACTCAAAGTGAAATTGGTCAAAGGAAATTTGGAAAACTCTCACAGCTTGATATAGAAGAAAATTGGAAAATT